GTTTAAAGTAACAGACTGAAAGTCTGTGCGCTCCTGCAGGAAATGACCTCTGGTCCTCAGGAATGGAGGCAGATTTTAGTGATAGACTGCATATTTTTGTCAGGAGACCCACAAATTCCCATCTGAGTTTTTTCAGAACTCTTGGGTGTACGCCATCTGGGCCTGGTGATATGTCAGCTTTTAATTTGTCCATTAGTCATAGGAGCTCCTCTCTCGTCACCCCAATGCAGCTCAGGTCTTTCAACACCCCTCCTGAAATCAGCGGCTCTGGAGTGGGCAAGCATCTATCATCTTCTATGATGAAGATAGAGGCCAAAAATGCATTCAGTTTCTCAGCCATTTCCCTAGTATCCTTTAGTAATCCTTTTACCCCTTGGTCATCCAATGGCCCCACTGCCTTCCTGGCTGGTTTTCTGGTACTAATGTACAATAGTTTAGTCTGGAAGTCATCACTCCATGTGTAAATGTGGCTACATCAGGCTTCTTCCAAAAAGTTTGCATTTGGTGTATCAGCTTAAGCAGTTAAAGGGCACTTCTAGCCATAACCAGCATTGCAACATCTAAGAACAAGCTGTCTTAGTCCCAAATCCAGTCCTGATCCTGAAGAAGGTCAAGGGGCAGATGTGGAGCTACTCTGGCACCATTCATTCAACAACTTTCACCAAAAAGAGACACATTTGAAACAGGCTTAAAACTGGCAGGGTCAGCAATGGCTTTTCCAACAGTGGCTTTACAATGGTCTCCTTCAGTACCACTGGAAACCGTCCCACTCCCAATGTAGAATTAATGGGGCTCTTAATTTCTCTTGGCATAGGAGACAAGATAGCACAACACTTGGATGAGAAGAGTGGTAGGAAACAACCTATTATATTGACACTGCCATTCATGTAATTATTTTGGCGTTTTGCTATGTAAACATGCTCAAGCCCCTTAAAATACTGAGAAGAATCACCTGAACACTTGGAAACGTCACAAGGATGGGACAATATTAACATCTTAGCTACAGCAGTTCTTAATGACACTATTAAATTTTAGATGTCTCAGTGGACATCTCATAACCTTATTAAAACAAGCCAGTTGGACTTAGTCATTTTTGATAATTAATGTGCAGTGGTACCCAGCCAAGATTAATTTCATGCGAGAATGAAACATATGGAATAATGCTTAAGCTTACATCAAAGTCAAATAATGAATACAACAGGCTACATTATCTCTACCATTTCTGGAGTATATTATGTTCTTTTAAGATACGATGCTTGCTGAATTTATGCTTACACTATGCTGAGAAATTGTGATCGCTCACAAACATTTTCCCCAGTGTCTTCCTCTATGGCAGTGTTCCAATTCGTCTCCTGGTTCTTTACATAAAACATTAACAAATTATCCATCTGAAAAAATTGGGATCAAAATAATATATATATATTTAAATGAAGCATCCTTAAGGGAGGACACTGATAATATTACCAGCCAGAAAAATCTTCAAATCAGATGTTAAAAATCCAAACTATTATTCCATGTTGATTTAGAAGACAAAGAATTCGCTGAGAGTTTAATTCATCCATATGTGTATATGCCTTTTGACGCCACTGCCTCTTTAGCCATTATAAAATATTCAAAACCTCATACATATCAAATAGACTGAGGTAGTTACTAGGGCAATCTCTTGTATATTGGTTAAACAAATAGCTTAAGAGTTTTTCTATTTCTAGAGCAGGTCAGATCCAGGTGGGTTGCCGTGTTGATTTGAAGCAGACTCAAACTTTGTTCAAGAGCAAGTCACTCACAGTAACTGTGATTTTAACAGGGAGGCGGTTATGTGGATTTGATCTTATTGTGGTCAACTGCAGGGGATTTCACCTACAAATCTATTTGCTTAGCATTTAGAAAATGCTATGTTTAGTATCAAAAGGCTGCCTGCTTTTTTGGCTTAAGCCTCAATACCACCAGACTCTATAGCACATTCATTAAATAGCCAGATATGGAACAGGTCAAATTTGGTATGCTATTAAAGCATCAGACGGCTTATTAATGGACCTTGCTATGTTCTTTCTGATCTCCTTTCCTCAAGTTACTTTGGGAAAAACATGTAGATGTCCCCTGAAAAATCACACCTGTGGCCCTAACCTGGATAGTCCAGGCAAGCCCAGTCATCAGATCTCAGAAGCTAAGCAAGGAATACCAGGGCCGGGATGCGGAGGCAGGCAATAGTAAGCCACCTCTCTGAAATGTCCATGCCCCACTAGGGGTCGCCAGAAGTCAACCATGACTTCCAGGCACACACACACATACACACACATAAAAAATACTCACCGGGGGAAAAAAAATCACACCTCTGATGCACACACACACAAAATAATGTAGGAACCACTGGACAGAAAAGGAAGTGATGAGGATCACAAACAATAGATTCCCCAAAATTTTAGATTGTGATCTATTTATTTGCTTCAAGACAAATGAGCCTCGCTGGCTGAAGACCATGTTTTGTCAGTGCCCGAAACAGTCTTGGCGGAGAAGGGTGATAGAATCTCATGAGATTGGGATTTGGGAAAACCATTGGAGATATAAAATTAGATTGATTTAGTGTACTTGAGGTGCACCGGAGGTGAAGTTGGTGCCACTTCTGCTTTGGCTCCTAAAATTGGGCCCTTGGGTTTGTCTCCCAAAAAAGGTTGGGGATGACATTGCCAAAGCCACCGGTGACTGGAAAGGGCTGTGAATCACCGTGAAGCTGACCATCCAGAACAGACTGAAGTGGTCCCATCAGCCTCTGCCTTGATCATCAAAGCTCTGAAGGAGCCACCCCGTGACCGCAAGAAGCAAAAGAATATTAAGCACAGAGGCAACGTCAGCTTTGATGAGATCGTGAACATTGCCAGGCAGATGCGGCACCGGTTCTTGGCCCGGGAGCTCTCTGGAACCATTAAGGAGATCCTGGGAACGGCACAGTCCGTTGGCTGGAATACTGATGGGAGACATCCCCGCAACATCATTGCTGACATCAACAGTGACACGATTGAATGCCCAGTGAGATAAAACTGCAGCCCGTGTGAACTCAACATCGCAAGTTCCAAAGAGCCCTGCAATCCTGTGACTGTTCAGAATAAAGAACCAGAGCATCATGTAACCCTATAGTTCTGCCTTCTTTCCCAGCACTGCTTCCAAAGCTGGAAATACCGAAGGATTAAATCCGGGACCTCCCACACGCAAAGCATGTGCTCTACCAGTAAGCTATGACCCAACTAGGAAAAGCACGTGTCTACTACTGAGCGATGGTCTTCCTTAGTTCTTCCCATTATACTTCTGTGGTCTTGTACTAGTAGACATAGAAGCTTGAATTATTTATTTCTGCAGCCTTTTCTTGATCTCTTTGACTGTATATGGAACACATCAGGATGGAATGAGAACAAATGGCCCACTTAATTTTTTATGAATAACCGACCTGTTCTCTTGAAACCTATTTAGTAAGAAACCCCACATGGCACTGTTAATGGACCAAGAAAATGATGTTTTCGCATGCATGGAAAATCAGTGTGAACAACATTCTCTTACTGTTTTTCCTCCCTCTGCTTAAAAGAAAGGCCTCTTCAGCACTGAAGTTCATAGCTGCAGGATTGAACAGTACAAAAGGCTCCAATATACTATCTAAACGTTTTTAAATCTCATCATATTTTTGGACAGATGCAACCAGAAGAACAATGTGTCTTTTTGTTGGATATTGAAACTCTACATGCAAGAGGATATGGGAGGAAAAAGTCTAAGAGAATTCTCTCACTTAGGTACACTTGACCTCACCCTCTCATTAGTTAGATGTTGAGCTTCTTTGGCTGTTGCTTGCCTTGTTTCATCTTATATAGGACCTCTCTTCTTCTCCCTCTTACCTGGGCTTGGAGCTGCAGCAAGTTAACCTTTTTTAAATTAATCTGTTCACAGTAAGTTAAATGTACCTACATGAATATGGCATGTAAGATGTGCTTCTATTTTTGTAAGTAAAATCTCTTTCTCTTTTTACCACTGGAGTCATATCATCTTTGTAATTTGTTTGAACAGCATTTTCCCCCTAACAGGGAAACGTGGAGGATCGGGGACAGTGTGTAAAGCTTCTGTGCTTCCAAGGCAATTTTTTTTTTTTACATTTCACCCAATACTTTTAGGCTTCTAGTACTCAGCACCCATGAAATGGATTGCTTATGGGTACATAATATATAGTTTGTTCCTCTTTAGGTCTAGGAAAAATGTATTTCTTGTTAATAGGGTGATTACAACTCTTTATGCTCTGGGAGATAAACGTGATTTCTTATCATGTTCTGCACAAGATAATGACAGTAAGGGAGGCAAAGTTGAAACTTGATATAATTTCTGTTCTCTTATAACTAGGAACAATCAAAAGGCAATACCCAGATGGTGAGGGATAACATAAGCTTTTAAATACCCTATCCCATTAACTAATTTCACAATAATGTGGGGAAAAGATCTCTAAAATTCACCCTCCCTTACTATCAACAGAATGTTGAACTACTGAAATAACCATTTTTCCCAGATGGGAACATTTAAATTGAATTAACTTGAAACGGCATTTTTAGAACCAAACGTTCAAAATGTCCATGGTGTTGACTCATCTTTCCTCTTAGATGAAATTCATTTATGTAGCAACTTGGGACTATTAAATACATCTTAAAAATGAAAAAGGTCCAGTTCATCTGAATGACTGGCTCACAATATCATTATATCTTCAAAAAGACAATGTTTGCAGAGTTATTTTCTCTTCTTTAATAATGTTAAGAACATAGAAATAGCCTTCCAGGAGAAGACAGAAGAGGCCAGTTTCATCTGCTTTAAGGAATTATATAGCAGAGGCTTGCTGTCTGTTTTTTCCCAGCATAACATACACAAGTTAGCCTAAGGCTTTCCCACACACATCCCTTACACAAATCAGACAAGGGGCTGTAGTGGCTTTTTAAAATCTTCATCTCTACTGTTGTCAGTGGGTGAAGCCTTAACCCTATGCTCTTTGATTGGCAGGAGGCAAAATAGTTCAGTAATTGCTGTCAACGCAATACAGGAGACTGTTAGTGCTTGGGTCAGGGAAGCAGATTTTGCTTCCTTTCAGCCCACACTCTTATAGCAAGGTTGTGGTCCCTTTTAATTCTTTTTTCTTTCAGCTGGTTACCTTTTGATTTAAAATCCCTTGTACTGAGTCTTTGGTGGCTTTTGGTGGCTGGCGCTAACACAGCCGGTGGATGTTCTCATCTGATAGTTTTTGTAATTGCCTTTCTAACACCATTGTTAGGTGGAAGGTGTAGTTACCCATCAGCTCGCCTGCTTGCAGTAGCCTTCTGCCCTAAATAAACAACGGAGTGGCAGCCTGTGCCTTTGATCTGCACTCTTCCAAAAGACTAACATACACAAGCTGTAATACAGATATTTACCACTGAGATTTGCCTCTTTTGTTTAGCTGAAACATACTGAGCTCACGTCTTCATACTGTTTTCCAGCCTCACTTCATCTACATTGTTACAGCTCATACCACAAGTGGATGTAATAACCACAATCAAAGAGCAAATTTTAGTTTGAGTAAACGAAAGTTTCATTGTGGTGCATCCAACTGACAATGATTCTTTCTTCCCCAGTCTTCACAGCAGCACATTTTCATACATACAGTACTTCAGTCTTTAGCGATTTTAGAGGCTCAAATCTAAGTGCCTCCACATGCCGATCACTTGGATTTCAGTATGTCCTCCCATTCAACTGGGTGCTCTGCATTTTTGGGAATTGATGGAAATACAGATTGAATTTTGTTCCGAAATTCATTCATCTATAAGAGAGGGTAGAAAAATAAATATATTAAACACATCCATGTAAGGGAGCTTTGGAATAATAAATCAAATATTTATTTTTGATGTAAACAAAGACAGAAACCCAAACAAGTAAAACCCTTTGTACAGATTTTTCTCTCAATGTATTTCCCCCTTCTTTCTAGGAAGGGGAGCCTCCACCAAGACACATACATGCACCTACTGCTCCCTTGACTGAAGAACTCTGACCAGACTGTTTTAATCATGATGTCATGTTACATAAACTTTGAGGCTAACCATGATTAATACTAACTAGGATTACCCTCATAATCAGAGATTGAAACCTGGTCTTGAAACAGGGTTTCAGTATTCAGTTATAAGGAAATCTCATCAGCATTAATCAAGCTCAAAAGAAATGGTTCACCTTTGTTAAAGGCAACCTCCAAAGGAAAGGAAGAGAAGGGAAGGGAAAACACAAATGCCCATGACATAAGGAATATTATAGTTGTGCTGGACCAGAAAAGAAGAATGGAGAACCTTTCCCATTCACATAGTCCAGACATAAGGGAAACTGATATTTGATAGAGGGCTAAATGCAAGCAATACAATAAGGGCTAATAAAGTCATCTGAATTTATTTGCATATGCTTTACTCATTGGAAACAATTGATATGAAACACAGGAAGCAATAGTTTTGAATACAATAATCATCACTAGCTATGTCTCTGCTGAAGTAATGTGCCTAATTACAAGCTATATTTGAACAAGGATGATTTCCACAGAGTGAAATATGCTTGCTTAACTCTGCATTGGACTGCAGTCAAGGGATACCAAAAGAAGCAATTCAGGGCAAATGGGATTCCTAGGAATAATGCCCTGTCTCCACGGTCAGCTGGCCAGTGCAGCTGGTTGCCTAAAGCAGTTATGGGATCTCCTGCCTAGAGGTTTTTAAGAGGAGACTGTTTTATTCTACGTGGTAGAAGTTCAGCTCTAATAATATATCTAGGAATAAGGCCCGTTGTGGAAATAAATACAACAAGCTCTAGAAAGAGGCTCTGGGCGGGTGCCCTGGCCTTGGGCACTCAGTGTCAATTTAATGACACAGAGCTTACCATTTTCTCCAGGGGAACTGATCTCTGCTATTTTGGCAGTCTTTTTCTGTGAGGGAAGAGTGTCCAGACTGGCAGTGGGTGGGGGAGAGGACCTAGCACCCATCCAATGGCTGATGGAGCACACTGCACAGCCAATGGGAGAGCTGGAAATGGCCAATATGTAAGGGAATTATATATACAGGATGGGTTGCCATGTTAGTCTGTCTGTAGCAGTAGAAAACAGCAATAGTCCAGTAGCACCTTTAACAAAATTTGTGGCAGGGTATGAGCTTTCGTGAGTCACTGCTCGCTTCTTCAAAAGTGAGCAGTGACTCACAAAAGCTCATACCCTGCCACAAATTTCATTAAAGGTGCTACTGGACTCTTGCTCTTTTCTAATAATATATGTTATACTACTACATAATTAACTATTCTGATATCTACTGATCACAATAGCCTGGCTGTGTTAACGAGAACTATACAAAACTCTTATTCAAGGACAACAGGCAAATGAATTTCAAGCTCCATAGAGCTCATTAGTGGGAATGAGAAGGGGATCCTCTGAGGGCAGAGGAAGAGGAAAAAGGCATACCTCCCCCAATATTAGTAGAGGACACTTATTTTATTTCCCAACAAAGAACCCTTGTGGGCTTAAATCACGGCAAGTTTGTTAATCTTGATTAATATATTTTGCCCTAAAGAGGCTGCTTAAGTAGATGTGAAGGGCCTTTCTTGACTGTGGTGAAATCCTTCTCTTTCTTCACTAGCATGTGACAGGCCACTATTTCAATACCTTAAGCTTAGCAGAAATCATTTTCTGGTATCATTCTGTTTCTTGACTTAAACCTATATGAACTATTGGTGCTGCACTATACTTGATTTAAGATCTCTGTACATTCAATTCCTGAAGAAAATTCTCTGAAGAAAATTTCACTTAGCAGAACTTTTATTTTCTTCACATTGCCTGAAGGGGAAAAAATACCCGCAGGGGGAGGGGGGGGGGGGAACCACAGCAACTGCTCCACTTCAGGATGTCAGTCTTTCTTGTTATAAAAAGGATATAATCTACCAATGCCACCTCAAATAATTCCTAACAGGTACAGAGAACAGTTATTTGTTCATCTTAACCTAATGATCCTGAACCAGCAGGCAAAAATACAGAACCCTAAAAGCATTTCATTCCACGCTGCTTTTAAAATGTACATCACTGACAAGATGTCACATGAAAAAGTCCAATTGTGCCACTGCAGAACACTTCTACATCTGTTCATAATCATGGGGGGAGGGGGAGGCGGAGTTAACAATGGCTTGTCTGTTAGAATGTTTAGGTTTTATTCCTTGACAGAATATTCTTCTGTGTGACATTCTACAGGGGTCATCTATCTTAGATCCTGGTAAGGTTATTGCTTTCCTATTTAATTTGTATTTATTGTTATTTCAATAACACCCAGTTGGAACATGAAACAATAATCTTACACCCCCCAAAAACTGAATAGAATACCTATTTAAGACTAGCTAAAGTTACCCCATATCTGATGCCAAACTTAAAAAGGGAAATTTCACAATTCTTCTAGAAAGTGTTCTCAGACTTTGATGGATCTTTAGGGGAATGGTGTTCCACAACTGGAAGAGAAACCATTGAGAATATGACTCTGGCACTTGCTGTCTGAACATGGCACATGGATGGTACAGACAAGAAAATGACTGATTTTAACATTTGTGATAAGGCTGCAGGGACAAAGTATGAAAGACCCAAGCCATACGGGGACTTTTAGGTTAAAAACAGCACATTAAATCATATCCAGATAGTACTAATAAACCAGTGTTGAGGTGGGAACAGTAGTGTAATCTGCCCTTTTTCAATGATTATTCCACTAACCTAGTAGATTTTGGAATTTGAACTACCATGGCTGCAAGCAACTTTTCTCCTTTGGAAATAACTACATTTAGCCAAGAGGAATGAGTCTAGTGGAAGAGAACAGAACTGGCAACGGCCTGTGCATATGGGAATTTACCTACAACATGAGGTAAAACTACCCACTTTGACTTTAATGGACTTTGCATTTTGTGCTTCACTTTAAATTTATCTCCAGAATTGTTAATACAATGACTGTCAAGTAATTTCTTTTCTCTCACCTTACAATATCTGTGAATCTTGTTCGGTGTCAAAAAAAGAAAATTGACGGCTTCTGTAATTTCAATGGAGAAACCATTTGATTTTTCCATGCTCATAGGAACCAGGTGCAACCTGACATCAAGGCCACTACATATACCTACTCACCCACTGACATTAAGAACAAGGATACTGGCCAAGAAAAGGGCTTAAAATCAGGGTCTGAAACACTTTTATTTCCCCTTCCCTCACCTCTATTTTATTTTGTAACATCCAGCCTGATAAAGAGTTCTGTTGAACTTGAAAGCTTGCATGCTGTTTTGTGTGATTTTGGGTGGTAACAGAAGGTATTGCGTGGATTACAGTTTGTTTTTGGATTCTGTCTTCTCACCAGCGTGGCTGCAAACAGCTTTTATTCCACTAAGAACGGCTTACATTTGGCTCCACTGTGAAAGCAGATGAGTTCCTTTGAGCCAGAGGCCTGACTGGCAGTAAAAACTGATTATAAGCTCTTCTATGTAAGGCATTGCATAAAGATGAGAGAGGGAACTCTCTACTAAGTTTGGAAGTCTTGGTTTTGATTAAAGTATTGCCGCAAGTTGTTGTTGTTGATGTATTTCCCAAAAAAATGTAAGATGTAATTGCTGTCATACCTATCATCACCATATGCAGAACACTGTATTATCCTTATTAAACAGGGGATCTAGTTTCACCAGTTCACTAAGTAAAGCAGAGCACTGCTCCTGAATGATTTTATATCAGTGTATAAGATGATGTGTAAGAAAGACAAGGAAATAAAATTCTCTTTTAAAAGTAAAGCTCCCGAGTCTCAAATGGTTCTACATGTTCATGGATTATTTGGAATGACAGATCTAAGAATCCAAAAGGTCAACCAGGTAGCACCTCCACGTTTTATCTTAACAATTGAACCCCATAACCAAGTTGGAAAGCTGCACCTTTTAGACTGCATGTGCCATATTATTCTAAGCTTATATAAGGAAAGAAAAACGGAGAGAGGATTTCAGTCTAAATTAACATATATGATCGCAGTGGAGACAGGGCTGTATCCAGGTCCAGCTAGTGGTTCACCCCACAGAATAATTCCTTTGGGAGAACAACTCAAGCTTTAAAATCTACAGTATGCCAGCCTCTGTCGAACGAATAAAATTACTGGTTTAAAGATCAGTGGATGTCCCCCAAGCTTCACTCACCTAGTCCTTGCATCTCTCTCTGCCCAAGGTTTTCACTGGCTCAAGGTGATTTTTCAAGATCACCCTTATGGAGTTCATGAGCCTGAAAAAAATATCTCTTGAGGTTCTACAATTGAGACCATGGCTGGGTGCTTAACAGGAAAGAAGGGGAAATTAAGAGAGTTACTATTTAAGAAAAGTGTTTATTATGAGAAGGTAAAAACTTCTGAACCTAATGCTAATAATTCACAGACACTAAACAATCTACCTAAAAGACACATTTGGCAACACATTTATAGAGGTTTTTGTGGGTTATAAAGAAATCATCTATTTCTTTGGAACTCCACTTAGGAGCAGTGTTCCCTCTAAGCTGAATTAGTGTGAGCTACCTCACAGTTTTTTCGCCTCCAGCTCACAGATTATTGTTTTAGCTCAGGAAGGATGGCTCCAGAGCAAACTAATTCATGCAGTAGCCAAATCTCTCTCTCACAACCATAATACCAGTAAATCACAAAGTAGAATTTTTGCTCACAAGACTCCACAGCTTAGAGGGAGCATTGCTTAGGAGTCCAGCAGCCCTTCTAAGTGAGGAAGGCTGGCTATGGCCTTGAAATTTTTGCAAACAAT